GTAGAAAGAGAACTTTCCCAACACTGCAGTTAGTCACAGTCAGAGAAACAGGACTACAATCACTAAATGAGATGATATCCTTAAATATTCATTTAAAATAAACTAACTTTCATCTACATTTGTAAACTAACTGCAGGGGTTGAAAGAAAAACAAGCCTTAATTATTCTCATGAAATTAAAAAGTTGATATTAGTTCTGGGATTAACCACTTCTTAATTAACATTATGTGCAACTTTATAACCTCAAGAGAAAACCCCCCCCAGATGTTTCTGTTGCTGTCGGTTTATTCTAAAATAAAATTGCAGAACAATCACCAAGTGGGTTTGCATAATTTTTGTTTTATTAAGAACTGTTTGTTGTAAAAAAAAGACTGTTGCTGCAGTCAGAACACGTCGCTCAATCATTTGAACCATAAAGCTAAATCCTCCTGTCCCTGCATGCTAAGTTAAAATCTAAACAACACTATCCTGATGTCTTAATGAGACCCATAAGTGCAGCACGGATGTTCTGTACAGGGAACTTGTTTTATATGTAATCAAGTAGTAATGAATTGCACATGCTCCCTCTTCTTCAGTGATGTTACATAACGTCTGCCGTGTCTAACAGCCACCACATTGTTCCTGTAAAAGCCAGCGCGGTTTCCTAAAGAACAAACATTACATGTGGTCTGAAACTGACAGCAACTGAAACTTCTTCCAAAAACTTTTCCTCCTGATGTCACAGCTTTTCCTGACAGTTTCGGCAAAAGTGATGCAACTATTGCCAGCTGTATTTGTGAGCTTCCAGTTGTATCTCTTCATTGTTTCTTTGCTACTGGAAGACTTTTTCCCCATTGTCTTTTAAGAAATACAACCTGAAAAGAGGCAGCATTGCGGTTCACGGCCTGACCAGCTTCCTGGACTTATAGAAACCATTTTTTTATGAATGTGTGTGTTCTTTGGTCCTTAGCTGTTAAAGCTGTCAGTCGGTGCGTTTTCTTTCAGCTCCGTTTTCTGGCAATGCAGAGCCAGGCATAAAGGTGTCAGTGACAGAATGTCTCAACACTCGGGTTTTCCTCCCCACTGAGCTCCCTGTTGTGCAACTTTATGACAAAAATATTTTTTGGTTAGAAATAACTTATGTTGTCTTTGGTGCCATAAGTCATCAGCAGGAGAGCAATAAGCAGCAGGGATGTAAAGGTATAGAGGTCAACTTTGTTCACAGATCTGCAGGAATGGTTGAACCGTTCCACATCTTGAAATGATATTACATGGGTACCAGTGTTGCAAAGGTGCAGTGTATTCTCTTACAAAATATAAAAATATATGTCTCATGGGTCATGTACCTCATCTGCAAAATTTGCAGAGCTACAAGTCCTCTACATCATGGACTGTTTCTTCTTGTCCTGAATGTATTCCTACAACATATGTTTTATAATAATTTTATGCAAAAGCAAAAAACAAACTAATATACATTATTTTCATTGTTTTAGGAATAAAGTAAAAAAAGATTGAACCCTGTTTTTCTGACTGTGACTGGCTGGATGCGCTCTCTTCATCCTCTGACATGGGAGCTGGCTCGGAGCTCGTCTGCCTGGCTGTGTGTTTCCTGGGCCGCCTTTTACAGCTGCTTTTTGTATCTACACTTCTGTCTCCTTGAACCCCAGTCAGCCTCGGGAGATGGCCGCTCACACTGAGCCTGGTTCTGCTGGAGGTTTTTTCCTGTTAAAAGGGACCTTTTCCTGTCCACTGTCGCTACAAGCATGCTTAGTGTGAGGGATTGC